ACATTTAATATTTAATGTGATAAAGACTTTTATAATGAACAAAAAATGAAAGAAAATATTGTACATGTAAATAATTTGAATGCGATATGTTTTTTTTAAATTTTGAATAAAGGTGCGCTACCAACACAAAAGAGATAGAAAAAAGAAAGGTTTTGTTGTCAATAAAAATGTACGAAAATGTACCCGAGCCTATGCTAGAAAACGACGAATGTAAATTATTTTGGGATTTTACCATACAGACTGATCATGTATTAATAGAAATTAAAGAAAAGACTGGAACACATCGGTATAGAGACCAGAATAGATGAACTTCAGAAAAATGTGATTCTGAACACGGCAAGGACCCTCAGGAAGGTCCTAGAAGTTTGAGGAGACTTCTTGTCACCAAGCTTCAGGAATAATGTAATTCCATTGGATATTGATCCAATGTAGTAGTAGTAGTAGTAGTAGTAGTAGTAGTAGTAGTAGTAGTAGTAGTAGTGGTGGTGGTAGTGGTAGTGGTAGTGGTAGTGGTAGTGGTATTATTATTATTATTATTATTAATTATTATTATTAACTATTATTATTAATTATTATTATTAATTATTATTATTAACTATTATTATTAATTATTATTTTTTATTATTAATAATAATAATAATAATTAATAAAAATGAAAATAAAAATAAAAATAAATATAAATAATAAATAATAATAATAATAATAATAATGCCAAAAAAATGTATTGTCGGTCAGCCGGCGTCGCCAAAACAATATTTTTTTTATTTGGCCTAATAATGATGATGATGACAATAATAATACCACCACCACTACTAATATTCACCACCGTGACGACTACCACTACTACTGTATTTAGGCGCGGCTGTCAAAATATAAAAAAAAAAAACAAAAAAAAAAAACCACACATTTTCTGAACTTTTCTTTAATATCGCTTACATCAATTGTCCACTGGCACGATGAGTATGGATTATATCCACCTGGATAATTCTCGGATGTGATGCGGCCATAAACTTGCTCTGATGAACTTGAACAACCACCGATAGCTGCAACCAAACGTTAAATAGGCATAAGGCCTGGTTACACTATGACGATAACGATAAAAAGCTAAAAAGCAATTGTTCATATAGAAAATAAAAGAAATAAGAGAGGTTTACACTAGCACGATTCGATTTTGATTCCTAGATGGCGGGAAATGAGCTTTCCCGACTTTTAATTTTCCCATTGTACCAAAAAAAAAAAAAAAAAAATCAGCTCACCGGTCCTGAAAAGGTAGGTTTTTTAAATTTGATTTTTTTCTCCTCCAACACGGGAGAATGCTTTTACGCACACGTAACAGTACATGAATAACCACACACACCCACGCGCACACACACACACACACACACACACACACACACACACACACACATGTAGGCCTATATATTTGTCAGATTCCTCGCTATCTCAGACGTTCGAGTATCATATCATTGGACCACGGAGACTTACGGTATATATTCGCATATAAGTATGATATTTAAACTTCTTCTCATAAAACTGACTGAAACCTTCCACATTGTGGAGCTAATAGCTAAGCTTAGAGTGGTCGCAGCTTGCAAGTCATAGTAAATAATATTCCTTTTAGAATAGTAACACCTCCATGCACCTTGTAAACTGTAAAGATCTACAACACAAAGCTCATCTGAATCTAGAAAAAAATTTGGGGACATCTAAATTTAGCTAAACGTGTTTGGGCATACGAAATAATGTTTTGGATGGATCTTGACGTCTTTTAGCATAACTGTGCTTAGGTACAAAAGAACATTTAAAGCTAACAATACGTCATTATGCTTACTTAAGTTCATTATGCCTAAACACGTTTAGCATGTGTCACCAAAAACGGCGCAAAATTGCTTGGAACTTCAAACCCTCCACACTATTTCTAGAGTGTAGTAAGCGCAGTCTTACCTGCAATGCTAAGCTGACTTGGAGTTGCCGGCTCTACTGTAACAGTCGTCACAACAATTAATTTCGAAGAAAAACCGAGAAAACAACGATATTAAAAAACAGTGCCACCAAAAATCCATTGATTGATTGAAAAGGAAGACTGCAGGTTAGCTTACAAGTTATCAATGAAAGTGGCAATAAATAGTATGAAATACTGCAAAACTCCCATTATAATCGATAGGTTATAATCAAAATCACCGGATTAAATTTGAGGGCTTAAATGGAATATCCAGTGCAAATAGTAATATTATTACTGAATAGACCTACTAAGTAATAGTGAGACAAGTACCGGCCGTCATTTGCGTATCTGTGGCGGATCAAGAAATTCGAAAATAGACCCAGGGAGGAACTTTTAAAGACGGAAGGTCTACTACACCACCTCGGCCCAAAGGATTTAAAGCAGCCTTCAATTGCCCCTCCCTGCAAGTAACATCCGTGTGAAATAAGTCTTTATACCTGCAAATTCTAAATCGACATTATGATTTACAATGCATACGCGAAAAGAAGAAGCTCAGACCACAAATTGACAGGGCCGGATTTCAACCCCCTCTCCCCCCACTAAAGCGTATGTTTTGTACTCTTTTGAAAATGTTAATAATTGTGAATGACCCCTAATAAAATTTGAATTCAACATTATTAGCGCTTATGTTTCTATACCAACAGTAAGCCTTGTGGTTGCCTTGTCATAGTCAATCAGTTTAAACACTATAAGCCTACCTGTGCACTGTGAACCATCTCCTTCGTATCCATCATTGCATGTACAATCGTAGGATCCGGCGGTATTTGCACATTCAGCGTTGGTATCACATTGGTTTGTTTGATCACATTCGTTAATATCTAAAAAATACAAGTTCGGGGTCCATCAGTATTCTTACAATCTGCATTAATACTACATGGTTCGGAAGTATGACATTCATTAGGGCTTAATATTTGTCAACGATAAATTCATAGTTAATTACATATATTAATACTTAAGGGGTCATCCATAATTATCAACATTTCAAAAGAGTACAAAACATACTCTTTTCTGATACCACACTCCCTCCCCCCGAAAGTGTACACAATAAAATGTTGATTTCTGTCATTTTAAGACCAAAATTTTATGTTTTTCATAAAAGAGTACTTATGCCTACACTTTCAACCCCCTCTCCCCCCCTAAAGCGTATGTTTTGTACTCTTTTGAAAATGTTAATAATTGTGAATGACCCCTAATAAAATTTGAATTCAACATTATTAGCGCTTATGTTTCCGAATACCAACAGTATGCCTTGTGGTTGCCTTTTCATAGTCAATCAGTTTAAACACTATAAGCCTACCTGTACACTGTGAACCATCTCCTTCGTATCCATCATTGCATGTACAATCGTAGGATCCGGCGGTATTTGCACATTCAGCGTTGGTATCACATTGGTTTGTTTGATCACATTCGTTAATATCTAAAAAATACAAGTTCAGGGTCCATCAGTATTCTTACAATCTGCATTAATACTACATGGTTCGGAAGTATGACATTCATTAGGGCTTAATATTTGTCAACGATAAATTCATAGCTAATTACATATATTAATACTTAATAAAATTTGAATT